GGGAGATAAAACTCACCGACTATCCCATGTTGAGAGTCGGTTATTTCGCAGGATTGCCAATATTTCTGAATAAAATGCTAAGGAACAGCGTCAACGGTATTGGTGAGGGCAGGGTTGAGAAAATGGTGGTGGAGAATGTCCATAATAGGGTGATATTTGGAATCAAAGCTATCCAAGATCAGGTATAGGGAGTGATTGTTGGGTTTCAAGAGAAGGGGTATGACATTCTGGTTTGTTCCCACGATAGATTTGAGAGTGGTGGTGTTGGTTTGCCAGTTGTTCGATTCAGAGGAAGACATGTGCAGGTTTCTTGGAGAAAGGGGGGGGGGTTGAAGATGACGGTTTATTGTTTTGGGGAAAAGTTTTAGGGTTTTCTGTAAGTGTTCTTGATTTGATATTTCTTTTAGGGTTTTAAGAAATGGTAGGATTGTGAAGAACTTACTTGAAATCGGAGATTGATTGACGAACCGGGATGATTTTGCTATTACTGGAGGTGGGTGTTCTTGAATGGAGGTCGAAAGTTCTTGACAGTTCTTGAGAGAAAACTTTGAGAGCATTTTTTTAATTTTTGAAGGCGTAAAGAAATTTGAATACAGGGATAATTATGTTGGGTTACGGGATCTCAAGCACAGCGGAAAATGAAACCGTAACCCTCCAAGGACCCATACAAACCGGAATAAATCGGGTGTTTCGAAAATTATACCTTATAGTTAGCGAGACTTTGAAACACAACAACAAACAAAGCTTGATGCCTCCACGGTATCCACGCGAACAATCTGAGTTCTTTGCCTTCTCATGATGCTAGTCATGGTTTCAAAACTTAGAAAGAAAAGGGAGCATATTGTTGTAGGTGGTTTTTAAGAGAGAAAATTGCAAGACCAAAAAAAAACTCACTAGCATAAAAATGTCATACATTTTATATGGACATGAGATGTATGGCCTAACCATCACCATACCTCCACCATGTCTGCACCATGCTTGAGTGTAAGACCTTCATACACCATCACTCTCTTACAAAGCTGCTCGTCGGTTTATTCAACCTTAGATTTCAACACAAAAATAGAACTTGACGCAAGTATACACCTCGAACTACTGTCGTCTCGTAACAAGTAATAATGGTAAAATACCAGATATCGTTCCCACAGAGATAGCTTGTAAAGTTAATTCAAAAGTCCAGTTTATAAAAATTAATTTCAGATGGCGAAAGGAGGGATTTGATTTATCTAAAATTGGGAGGTTTGATTAACAACTAAGAAAAATATCAGTCTTAAGAAGAAGCACATGGTGCAACAGTTGATTAAGACATTAAACAAATGATTCAGTAAAAAGGTGACATAGCATTCCTGTCATAATTATCTAAAATCAATAAATGATTTTATATAACTATGACAGTATCAACTATCGGGTCAGACGGCCTCCCAAGAGCACACACCGGTCAATGTGTTATCGATACGATATCATTTATGTTAGACGTCGTGAATCCTAGCACAATACGGTGTTACCATCCTACACCGTAGGAGTATAGCGTTTGTCAGACACTAAAGCTAT